CAGGCAGGCAGGCAGGCAGGCAGGCAAGCTGGCAGGCTTTTGCTGACTAAAAGAAAACAAAACAGCATGGCACTGAATTTGGAGTCCTGCTTGGCTCCAGGTCCCAAGGACTGATGTTGTAATCCTAGCTACACTAGATGCCACAGGAGAGTTTTTCCCCCACTTCCCCCTCCCCACTTGCATTCACAAACAGGCAGAAGGGCACCTCCGAAGATTATGCTCAGCACTGAAAGAATGGATTGTACTCATCTGTTGGAGACTGCTTGAGGAGACAGGCAGAGGAGATGTAGACAGTGCTTAACTCATTAAAACTGAGTTGCCAGGGCTGAGAAACCACACCCTCCTTTCCCTGCCTTCTATGCCTGAGACTCTCCACAAAATTGATATTACTCCACTTTTCATATAGTGCATTTAAACTCCGGCCTTACTACAGCACTCACAATGCTTTTCACTTTTGAGGACAACTTCACCCAAGTTGTGCTTGGACACTCTGTTAGCCATGAGAGCTTAAGACCAAGCATTTGCAAAAGATGCAAAGCTTAGTTAGTTTGAACCTGGAGCTGTTTTGCATATAAGCATGCTTGACAAACCCAGGCTGTTTATGGTTTGACCTGTTTTGTGAACTGCAAGTTAAGAGCATGGTATTAACACAGTCTTACAGTAAATGTGGTAGTAGTGGAACTCAGCTGTGTTTGGGGACCCTGACCTTCAGGGCCAACTCATGATCCTGATGACATGACTTGTCCTCTCTGAGTGCCTCATTGCCCATCATTTTTTCTATAGAACTACACATAATTCTTGCCCAGCTACACCTTCAACTACAGAACCTAAACATGTATCGCTGGATTCCATTACACTTACCGCTTGATCCCCATGTCCATGCCATGATACCTTTCCACCTTCTCTCTCCCTATTGTCAAACATTAGATGGTTCCTTGGGGTAGAATTCCATATTCTTGTTCCACTGAACCTGCAAAGTACTGGGGGTGTATTGATATCTGAGCATGCTGTTTAAATTTATCCCTAAATCACGATTACTAGAAGGCTTTCTTTCAAGGGACTTCCCCTTGATCAAATGATTAAAGAGAACTTTTTATATGACCTCTTCACATGCTCAGAGGTCCTCTTTGCAGCTGCATGGTTTTACAGCTGAATACCATTTCAAATGAAGCTTCTGCCACAGCATCAGGGAGTCTCGGTGCCTTTTCTAGCATGTCTCAAAGCCACAGTATAAAATTACACATCCATGGAATCAAAGCCGTTATTTGCCGGCAGAATAAAATATCTGGGAACAGCGAAATATTAACCATTAAAAAAAAATTGCGAAGAGGAAGTGTTAAGTCCTTCTCCAAGAGCTCGTTTTCAATATAAAAAATGCCTCCCTGCGGCTTCTATTAGCACTTAAAAACGAGCGAACATCCTTGAGCAAATCTTTGTCTTTCAGCCTAATTCACTTTCCAGAAGAGATGTGAAACGAAGATGACCCTCTCCTCACCACCCACACTTCGTCTGAGGAAAGGTCGGTGGGAATTTGGTAGACTTTTGAAGTTTTGCTGCTGAATTACTTGGCGCTTGTCCGGATACCCGCCCCTTCATCTACTCTCATCCCGTTCGTCCGCAATAGGAAATGCTAAATTCCCTATGCACGAGGAGTACGCAACCAATCATTTCTGAAGCCATGCGAAAATATTCCTCCTTTATTATCCCACATCTCTTCACTCCCCCGGGAATTGTTAAGAAGGAAAGTGAAATCAAGTCTCCGAACCCCAAATCCGCCCTTTCGCTTCCAGCGGGCGCGCTTCCATCCCCTTCCGCTCAACCATCACAAAGGAGCTGGATGGGAAAGAAGATCGCTCTCTGGGATCCCCCTCGGAGAAGCGCCACACCCGCTTCCCGGACCGGGGCGGCCTTTTGCCACATCCCGCCCCCACTCAGGACTCTAATCGCCATCCCCAGATTCCTTCTTCACGCCTTCCTCGGCCGGACTGATTTCTGCTCGGGGGATTCCAACGACCAGAGGTGAGGTGTGGTAGGCGGAGAGGGCGAGAGCGAGGGCTGCGGCGCTGCCCGCTGTCCCTCTAAGAATTACCCGCTCGGTCTACCATCTTTACAGTTTGCATTTGTTATGCATTATTACAACACCATCATCACCACCTCATCCCTGTATCGGATTGGGGCGCACCAAAAGTTCACTCCATCAGCCCTTCTCCCTTTGCCAGGCTTATGCCTTCTGCTCTCGCGAAGGTTCACACGTGACGTACGCGCGCGCATCCCAACCTTCCCACGCCTGAGCGGCGAAGCTCTCGGCGGTCACTTCGCCACCCTGAGGGCAGCCGTCACCGCCGCCGCCCCATTTCTGCGTCCTAGACCCCCTCTTCCACCCCAAAGCACCTTAGACAGGGCCCATCGCTGCGATACTCACCCGTCTAGGCTTTCCTTCCCCCCACCCCCGAAAAAAAAAAAAGCCGCGAACTCGCCCCATCCCAATTCTGCCCTCCCCCGAATGGAACGGGCGCCTGACGGGGAGGAGGGGCGCGCGCGCTCTCCATCCTCCCATCCATTCCCTAATTCCTCCCAGCGCGTCTCGCTCCGTCGGTCCTCGGCCGGTTCCCTACTGGCACCCTCCACTCACCCTGGAAAGCAGCAGCAAGCCCCATAGCAAGATCATCGTCTTCTCCATGATCGTCTGAGGTAAAACTGGGCGCAGGGAAGGAAGATGCCGGCCAGGAGATGAGGGGAGGCAGGAGGCTTCTTAAACATTCCCTCCCCAAGGCGCGTCTCGGGATGGGGGCGGGAGGGAGAGAAGAAGAGCAGCGGTGGCAACGGAGGCAGCGCTAGTAACTGAGGGAGCCGGACAGCACCTGCTTTCTGTAACTGGTAAGCTCGGCCCCCTTTTTTTAAATTAGTATTAAAACGATCGATGTTCTCCTCCCACTGGCTGGGTGGTTTAAAGAGCGCACAAATAACGGAGACGTGACAACCCCTCCTTCTTTCAGGCCCCCAGGAAGAACATATCAAAGAAAATCACTTGGTTCTTGGTTCACTACATCTCTTCCACCCATAAAACTTCTTTTAAGTCCTCCTGAAAGTTGAGGAAAGATGTTAAGTTAAGCTCAGCGAGTGAGGAAAAGATTTTAAATCACTTCCAGTGATTCCACCACTGAATGGGAACGCAGAGGTGGGCCCAGGGACCAGTGGCTGTTGCCATTGAGAAACCTTTTTGTGATTTCTCGCTGCTGCTTTCACCTTTTTCTTTCCTATCTTCCTTCTCCTGCAAAATCCATTAAAAAGAAAATCTGGCCATGCCTTTGGGAAATGCTTCTGTGGAAGCACCCAGTGCCCTCATGCAATCCTGCATTTCTGTTCTCTTTTTTTTCTAATCAGAGTCCACCTGGCTGAAGAGATGAATGTAGGCAGAGGGATCAGGGTAAAACTAACCAGGAAGAAGGTAAGCTGGCAGTTAACTGTGGTGTGGGACATGTGACCCTCAGAAGTTATCCAGATGGCCATGAATTATCTGGAGCCATTCTTTTTAATGTTATGCCCCAGCCTTGCCAAATCTCTTGGCCTCCAGGTGGATTGACCATGCTGACTGAAACTTACAGGAGTTGTACTCCAACCCATCTGGAGTGCCAGACTGGGGTAGGCTGCAACCTGGCTAGTTCTGACAAAAAACAAGATGAGATTGACACTTTATGGCAGAATGGAATACAATTATATCTGACTCTTAGGGCACACTATATACTTAGAGTTTTTTCTGTACATATTATATAGATTTCCATTTTTTTTCAATAGTATAGGCACATCTGTTCATGAAATAGATTATCAGCTGATATTCATCTTTATACACACACACACAAATTTGTACCGTGCATTGTAACAAGGGGAAAAAAAGCTAATTATGACAAAATATAGTGAAGAAGGAAAGCCCTGTTTGTATGCTGCAGCTAAACTAAAAAAGTTAATCCTGCTAGCAAGTGGAGTTCATTTACATTTTAAATGATGCACATGGAGAATCAGAGGGGAAGAATGTCTCCTGGAATCTATAGCTTGAAATCACAGATCTATGTGATCTAAAGATTTATATTGCTTCATAGGAAGACCAGCCTTATTTTTAGGGCTTCTCTCTTTCTTTCACTTCCAACATATTGCAATGCTTTTCACTTCCCTGATCTCAAACAACTCTGTTCCACATCCTCCATTAGATCAATTGTGACAGAAACAAGGATCCAATTGTCTGACTCAACAAAATTGGCCATCTTTGTGCGCAGACTCAGAGCTTCCTGTATCTTGCCAGTCCTGCCTTGTATCTCATGGCATTGCCTTCTCAGCTCCAACTTGCCTGCCTTAAGAGTAACTAAATTGCCTACTTGGTTAAGAACCAGCGTTTCTGAATGTTACAACTCTTTCTCTGCTCAATAAATCAGTTCTGGGTATTGTGCAGCAATAGCATGACTTAGTTTGAATAGACTCTCTAGTTGCTCATCAGACATTTTATGGCTTTAATTGTGGCTTTAATAATGAATGCCATGTTAAAACTTTAGCCAGGACACTTTCTGTTTTCTTGATAAGTGCTCTCTGAATCAGAGATTCAGAATGCAGCCCAGACATTTGAAAAAGAGGAGATGGATTGCAGATCATCTATGAAGTTCTTACTTGCTCCAGGGGTGCATCTATCACTGTTTGAAGAATGTGAACCTGCAGGGATGAGTTTGAAGTATATATTTTTGGTATTTAGAGGGTGAATTATGGGGAGGTGGGGTTTATGGAGGCATCATAGATTCAGATAGCTCTAATCTGAGGACTGGATGTGGTTGTTTCAAGACTTCTTACCATCTCACTTTAGAAACATGGCATGCTTCAGTGCACACAAGCTCCTGCTGAGCTGCACTGTGAACACATCTGGTGCCTAGTGTTGAGCTTAAGGACCAGTCCAAGATTTTTTGTAAGTTATTTCCTTCCCACCATGCCCATATCTATCTCCAAGTCCAGTCAAAGTCAGGTTATTTCTGTACATGGCGTGGGGGGGGGGCGGGATCTATCAAGTCTCTTCCCCTTTCTTGGCAATAAAAATCCTTTTCATGATATTGAAGATCACTTGTCCTGGGAATTGCATCATTGGGCCTAATAGTAGAGCCACAGTAGGTATTGTCTCTGCAGGATGCTCTGGAAGCAGGAGCCATCTTTATTTATAAACTGTTTTAGAAGTAATAAAACTGATTCACAGATTTATTCATTACATTTTACTCAACCTTTTCCTTCAAGGAAGAATAGTTTAGATGGTTTCTTCCCACTCCTATTTTATCCTTACAACAATCCTGCGCAGGAGATTAGGTTAAGAGATGCTGACTGTCCCGTGGTCATCCCATGAGCCTCATAATTACATGGTGATTTATTTGCTTGTTTCAAATATCTATACTACTACCAGCCACATCAGAGGAGGTCTTCACATAACATGCTGAGGAGGCTTCCCACCCTCTGCAGATTGGGCAGTACATCAGTGTGATGTGTGAGGAAGAAAATGTCTGTGTTTTGTGTCTTCATGGAATATGTGAACATCTGACTAGGATGAAGAAAAAGGTCTGAAACTGATATTTGGGACTGGATTTTAGAGGGACATGAGCAACAGAAGGGCAGAGAGTTGGCCCAAAACTGAGGCAGATATATTGTTCAGACTTGAGTACTCCATAAGATGTAATTGTGTTGTTCTTCCCTTTCCTAGAATCTCTTTTCTTGGACTGTCCTTTCTGTATCCTCTCCAGTTTTTCTTTGATTATCTTTCCTCTTAACTCTCTCCAGCTTGCCAGTATCTTCTCCATAATGAATGGCTCCAACCAACTGCAGTAGTGTGGAAGGTGAGGACATGTTTTTTTCAGATGCTGATCGTAAAATCACTTTTTATAACCTTCATTACCACTTAGGCTTTGTTGCCAGCAAAGCAATATACTCTTTCAACCTTCACTTTGATAAAGAAGGGAAGAAAAGGGAAGGGAAGGAAAAAAACCTTTCCAGGAGTCAATACACAAGCTGACCATCCATATGTATATAGCTCTTCTTCTCATAAATTCACCTATGAAGTGATGGAACATCGCCATGGGCAGTTTCAACTTCCTCTGGCCAAAATCTATGGTTTTCTGTACAACAAGGGTTTTATCATAAAGATTGCTTCAGATGGGGGGTTTCTCTCAAATGTAAGAAGTATTGACCCAAATAGGTTTCTGGGGTCATTGGTTTGGCTGAGCTGCCTGCTCTGATTGGCAGCTACAGAAGGCTTATCTGGGTCATAGGTGATCCAGTTTCCCTTTCACAGAACTGGAGCATATTGGTTAATTTCCCTTTTGTAGAACTACAGCAGCTTTTAATTAGGCTGTAATAATTAGATAAATATGCCATGGCTTTTTGGATGGATGGATGGATGGATGGATGGATGGATGGATGGATGGATGGATAACCTTTCGACCAATTAAGGAAATACATAATTCAGAAAACAGTATTTTCATGCTGCTGCTACAAACAATGAAGAAGGAGGAGGCATCAAATGAAATCAGAAGTGGGTATGTGAATTCCAAACTTGCTTTCTGTGTTGGGCTCAGCTAAATCAGTATTTGTATTGTTGAATCATTGCATTAGGCACGCCCCAGAATAGAAAGAAAATGTCACTTCCATACCTACATGCATTTACAAAGGTACTTTGTTGCATTTAAAGCCATATTCCTTGTTACTAGGAATATGCGGAAGGGTTTAAACCCAGTCCACATAAGTGTCACAGCTTATTCTGTTTATTCTGTTCTGATTATTCTGTTCTGTTAAAATTTTTATATTCTATTAAAAAAATATATAGGAAACTCCACATTTTTGTTTTTATACAATTTCTACAATGTACATGGGTTTTGTGCTTTTTTTTTAAACTCCATTTTACTCTGCTAGAAACCTGTGGCAGATTTTATTCACTTCCTGACATGTTATGCTATCAACTTCTGCAATATTAGCCTGACCTTGTAATTTTGTTGCTAAGCTTCTTGGGGTGGGAGAGGGATAGAAAAGTTGCTGGAAAAGATAGAAAAAGCAATTTTAGCTTTACAGTACTGGTCCATGAGGAAAAAACCCTCAAAATCGATATGTGAGTACTGTATACCCTTATTAGGGCCACATTAATTCAAGCATGCATGCAATTTTTCAAGCAAATGTTATTTTGAAAAGGGAGTGAAAAAGAAATTTTAAAAAATAGTACTTAAAGTTTGCCCAGTTATGTTGGGCAATATTGTGTGCAAGGACATTGCCTTGGGGTATCTGGTGGCATAATAACATACAAGCAAAATGTACTGATTTTCTTCAGCTAACTTTGGCAAGCATCCATCTATATCCATGGCAGTTCCTGAAAATGTAACAGTCATCAGTGTCATCCTTTTCATGGCTGCTCTGTCCTGTTTCCTTTCAGGTCTAATGTATTAGCACTCTGGAGAGGATTGACAATGGGCTTCCACATCCTTGGTCATTCCTGGCCAAAAGAGTCTGTCTCAAAGCTTCATTAATTTTTTCCCCCTTGTCCCCTGTGCCTGCTAAAGGGTTGGCATGGGCAAGTTTCAGTAAGTCTGCTCTGAACTTATGTGGAATTTCACTTGCTCCACCTTTTCTACCCTCCCAGGGTCTCCTATAACTCAAAATAGGGTTCCCTTTTTTTTTTTTTTAACAAAGCAAGATTATTTACCTACTTGCCATGCTTTGCCACCACTGCCTTGCTACAGCTTTCTAAGAAAAGGCCTTGCTCTTGGAATGGCCTTGCATCCACCCCCATCTGTGTTCTAAGGCTGGCCTCTG